CCCCCTTTACTATTATACCCCCTTTGGTACACGTTACAAGCCTCTTTCGTGCACGCGAAGCGTGCACTCCGGCAGGAGTTTTTCAGGCATTAAGACTCATCGGAAGTCGTTCAGCATATTTATTTTTAGTTCAAAACATTCTAATTTGATGTCAAAGATGACAGGAATAAAAAATAGTTATGTTGAGATTTTTAAGAAATTTGCATAAAATACTCGCCAGCACTGTTTATATACAAAATTCGGTAAAAAACCCAAAATCGCCATATTCAGGTGTCTTAAAAACCATGTTAAAATCGAGTTAGAGATCTGAAATTTTTCAGGGCGTCTAGACGTTGACCAAATCGACTGCAAAAAAAGTTTCAGGTTTCAGGAACATCGGGGAGGGGGTTTTCTAGAACCCCTGTTTTACGACAGATTGTCGTGATATCTATACATCCAGAGTCTACCATATTGAGTCTAGCATCCAGTCTAGCATCCAGAGTCTAGCATATTGACTCTTTCCATTGGAGGTGAATGCAAAGTCCTCTTCACTGAAATGAACAACCCAGTTCACACGCACACGCACAAGTGTACTCCAAGATCAGTTTACAGGATGACCAGAAGGAGTCAGGCTCACTACAAGCACTCTATCCAGAAGGGGTCAGTCACTGGTGCAGTACGATATAGTTTCACCTTCAGATCAATAGATGGAAAGAATCGTGCCAGTACTTGTATCTTCTCTGATTCAAATGGAGCAGGTATGAAATTTGGAGAGGATCACAAAAGGAGCTTTGGTAAGTGGCTGCCTGGTCGGAATGTTTGGACTCCTACAATAGATGACATTAACCCATATCTTGCATGTGGATACAAGAACATTGTTATTATGTGTGGTATAAATGATGTTAGAAGACCATCTGTTAAATCTCAGCGTGAAATTTTTGCTATATTTAGTCATCTAGAATTCAAGATTGAGCAAATTCAAGAGGCCAATCCAACTGCCCAAGTATTTCTTTGTCCTCTTTTACCAACTCGAAATGCTGATTTAAATAGGAAAGTTCTTTATTTTATAGAACTTATTCGTCGTGAGCTACTCCCCAAAAACTTTGGTGTCCAGTTCGTTGATGGCTTTGATGACTTCCTTGACAATAACACTGGCTTACTTTGCCTAACCTTGTCCAGGGAGTTTGACAGATATGGCCGAACGGATTACCTGCACCTTAATTGGAAGGGAGTGGCCAAACTTGCTACTTTAATCCGTAATACTGTCCTTGTTAGGATGCATGGAGGGACTGATAGGAGGAAGAGGGGGAGGAGGGACGGTAAGGTTGGTTCAACACTTTATTCTCATGCCGCCGGAGGACAGCCTCGTGTTGAAGGCTATCAGCCTCCAGCATGAATGTTCTTAAAAAAGAGGTCTGTGCCCACTGTCTAAAAAGTATTTACTTAGGTCAATCTATAATTGAATGCTACCACTGTAATTGTCCCATTCACTCTAGATGTTTTAACACCAGTGACAAACAAAATAAAAAAGTTGACTTGTACTGCAATAATTGTATCCACCTAGCAGTAAACCGTTATAACCCATTTAAGCTTCTGAATGATGACAATGATGACAACACTGATGCAGATGATGTAATACGTAAAATCTCTGAGGTACTTGAAAGCTGTGACTCATATTCTGTAAAAGACATAAACCGCACCTTTGCTAACGAATTACAAGTGCAAAACTCACTAATATTTCAAAATCTTGATGGCAACAAATCAAACTTTGACTCGCTGGCAATTGAAATAGCTAGGTTTACTAACAAATTCTCTGTAATTGGTCTTGCTGAAACGAATGTAGGCCCTGAAATGAAAAACTTGTACGAACTCACAGGCTATGAGAGCTTCTATCAAGATACCTTCGACTCGAAAGTAAAAGGCTCAGGAGTAGCTCTATATGTCCTGAACTCCTTCAATGCTGTCAAAAATAACAACCTTTCACAAGTAACAGAAAATCTAGAAACCCTCTTTGTAACTATAGGTAGTCTAGGAAATTCTACTTCTATAGGAGTAATATACCGCCCTCCAAGTGGCAATGCTGAGCAAGCTCTCCAAGAACTGTCGTCAATACTTGATAAAGCACCAAAACATACACACATTGCAGGTGATTTTAACATTAATCTCCATAGTAACCACAGTAGCATTATTGCACAGTATGAAGATGTCCTATTTAGTAGAGGCTTCTTTCCATTGATATCATTAGCAACTCATGAAAAGCCTGGATGTAATGCCTCGTGCATCGACAACATCATTACAAATGACCTAGACTCTGTTACTGCCTCCGGAGTCATAACTGATCACATATCTCATCACCTCCCTATATTTACAATATTTGACTGGGAAATTAGCAAGACCAAAAATATTCACAAGCACACTCAATATTATGACTATTGTAAATCAAACACTGATAAATTTGCTGAAGTCTTGGGTAACAAACTAGACAATGAACCAATTATAGATTTTACTAACTTTCATGATATCTTTAAAAACAGCATTGACGAAACCTGCAAACTAGCTGTACCCAAAACCACTAAGCGCACTATCCAGAACAACCCATGGATTACTGGCGGGATTATAGCCTCAGTAAACCACTGCCATGGGCTGTATGATGACTGGGCGAAAGTCAGGAAAGTTAAGTGTAAACAAGGCGAAACTGACACAAAAGGGGGCACATGCCTGTGTTCTATCTGCTGTAATAAAAGAAACCGTTATGATGACTACAAAGAATATAGAAAGGCTCTAAAAAAGGTTCGTAAAAAAGCTGTATCTGAATATTATTCTGACAAGTTTCTTGAAACTCAGGGAAATTCCAAGAAAACCTGGGAACTGATAAATAAAATTCGTGGCAAACAGAAACGTGATATCAGACCTATATTTACCATAGACAATGAAAAGATAACTGATCGCAGAGTTATAGCTAATGAATTCAATAAGTATTTTGTATCCCTAGCATCTAACCTTAATGCAGCCTACACAGAACTAGGAGAGATACAAATAAATCAGCTTCCAAGTTTCTGTGACTTCTTACCTAAATCGAATACAGCTAATATATATCTACATGACTGCTCACCTGAGGAGGTGGCTAAGATCATATCGGAACTTAAGAATGGCAAGGCTAGCGACATACCAGTACATATAGTAAAGGCAGTATCAGGCAAAATTAGCCCACTACTATCGGTATTGTACAACGAATGTATGCAACAGGGATTTTTTCCAGACGACCTAAAAGTAGGTAAAATAAGTCCAATATATAAGAAAGAAAATGCTGAGCTTCTTGAAAATTACAGGCCTATCTCAACCTTAGCGATATTCGGTAAAATACTTGAAAAAATCATATTCTCCAGGCTTTACAGTTTCTTTCAGTCGCAAGGATTATTATATGAAAATCAATATGGCTTTAGAAAAAATCACTCGACAAGCCATGCACTCAACTTCTCTGTCGACTACATTGAAAAATCTTTAAGAGATAAAAATCACGTACTAGGCATCTTCATTGATTTAAGTAAAGCTTTTGACACAATCTGTCATGATAAACTGCTTAAAAAACTGAATGATTATGGAATTCGAGGGACTGCAAATAAATTGATAGCCAGTTACCTTTCTAATAGACAACAATATGTTTCAGTACTTGGAGAAGAATCCGAAAAACTGTCTGTAATATTTGGTGTTCCTCAGGGGTCAGTATTAGGTCCCTTGCTTTTCATTATCTACATCAATGAAATATACAGAGTATCAGACCTAGGTAAGTTTATACTTTTTGCCGATGACACCAACATATTTGTTGTAGATAAATGTATAAAAACACTTTACTGCAAAGCTAATAAAATTCTTAAACTTGTTCATCAGTATATGAAGAGTAACTTGCTGCATATCAACATAAAGAAATGTTGTTATATCCACTTTAAGCCGAACTGTAGAAATGAACCAGATTCAAACACCAATGAATTAGAACTGACACTAAATAATATAGTAATTAAAAAGGTGGAGGAAGCTAAGTTTCTTGGAGTCATTATTGACCAAAAACTGAACTGGGATGCTCACTTAAGAGCGTTAAACCGTAAATTGAAATGTGAGATAGGTAGACTATGTGGAATTAGACGCTGTGTACCTAAAAAACTATATAAGGACCTGTACCACACCCTTTTTGAATCACACCTATGTTATGGAATATCTGTTTGGGGAGGTGTATCAAATAATAAACTAGAAGCCATATTTAAAACACAAAAGAAATGCATAAGAATTCTCTTTGGTGATAATGATGCATACTTCAATAAGTTCAAAACATGTGCCAGAGTAAGGCCTATCACTAGGGATAAGACCGGTAAAGTTATCAAGCAGATGTTAGGCAAAGATTTCTTTGAACTAGAACACAGTAAACCAATCTGTAACGAGTATTGTTGTAGCGTGAGCGTAGAAATAAAACAAGTTGTTAACACGTAATCATAGAGGCTAGGGAAGAACAAATCGTTAATAACAAATTATGATAGCAATCAATGTTCAATATATATAACAATCTCCCTTCGGCAAGTTATAGCTAGTCGGCCGATACAACTAGCTGCGCTCGCGTTTAACACGAGGAGCTAGGCGCGCGCGCAAAATTGAGGTCAGGAGGACTGTCACTTTTTAGCGCTAACTAGCTTAACGTCGCCGCGCGTTCCATACATGTGGAACAGCTTTTGTGACCAAACTGGTCTTTAACTTTAACTGTCAGAAAACAGACATAAAAAATACTTTCTCCCCACAGGTCGGGACAAAATTAGCAACATTTTGCTTCTTAAACGTTAAAAACTTGTAACTCATATTTCCATAAAATTGGATTAGCCACGTTCTCTGTCGAATTATTAAAATACATATAAGTTAAATCAGGAAATCTGTAAAATTTAAAATAATGAGTGACTCTAAAAATGTGATAAAAACAGCGGTTTGACAAATATTACAACATACGGGTTTACAATGATTTCAGTTCGTGATTACTCATTCTAACTCATGGTTTTCATTTTAGTGATAGCATCACTCTTAGCACTTCTGGTTGGTCTCAAACGCGGTTCAGGTAAGGGTGCACCACCTGTAGCTGTAGGTTTGGACAACTCAGACACCCGGACTTGCTTGTCGTTGGTTTTCAGGGGGGAAGCAACTTTCGGTTGAGGACGCTCAGTCACTTTAGCCGGTGAGGTATCCTTGACTGGGGACGCTGGTTTCGCCACAGCCTCAAGTCTGTTGCCGTTCGGAACTCCTAGGTTTAGTGCATTCATTCTCCGTCTTTCCCTTGTTTCATGCAGCTTCTGGAACTTAATGTCAGAGCGAGCTATCTCTCTGGTTAACAGCGTTTTTTGCGGTTTTATTGCGTCAGCGTGTTGGACCACGTAATTGTTCGAATTATCACCGAGTCTTTTGATTACTCTAGCTTGTTCCCAGTGGCTTTTGTCGTCCATTTTGGCGAAAATGAGCTGATTTTCCCGGAACTCTCGAGTTCTGGGGTGTTCGTTAATTGCAACTTGCAGTTTCTCAGATTGCAATTCCTGCTCCCTCATCCGATCGGTTGGTTTGATTTGGTGTAGTTTAGATCGCAGAGTTCTGTTGAACGCTAACACAGCTGGTGTTTGACCAGTAGACGAATGGGGTGTGTTGCGGTAAGTTAGCAGAAAATCGTTCAGATTCTTGCACACGTCCTTACTGGTTACAGACATCTTTTTCAGGGCGGATTTAAACGACTGAACAAGTCGTTCGCAGATTCCGTTTGATTTGGGAGAATACGTCGGAACAGTCACGTGCTTTATACCACAGGATTTCAGATATCCCTCAGTTTCATCCGACACGAACTGTGGTCCGTTATCCGTTACCAGACAGATTGGAATACCTGTACGAGAGAATATGGATCTAAAAGCACGTATTGTAGCACTAGATGTTGTATTTGTGTTCATTTGAACAACTTCAGGCCACTTGCTGTAAGAGTCTACTAATAATAGCCACATGCTGCCCAGGAATGGGCCCGCAAAGTCAGCGTGTACTCTTTGGAAAGGTGCACTGGTTTTAGCCCAGGGGTGGTCAACGACTTTAGTCATGTTCTTACCATACTTGGCGCATGTCTCACACGTCCGAGCAGTATCCTCGATTTGTGTGTCAAGACGTGGCCAGTAAACGTAAGATCTGGCCAAGGATTTCATACCTGTTACTCCAATGTGAGTGGCGTGCAGAATATCCATTACAGTGCTTCTCGGTTTAGCGGGAATCACGACACGGGCTCCCCAAGTTAAACATCCAAGTTCATGGCTCAACTCGTCTCTTCTAGTCCAGAAAGCTTTGAGATCACCGTCACATTTCAGATTCTTCGGCCAACCATTCAGAGTGTATTCCAAAACTCTGCTCAGAATCGGGTCCTTACGAGTGTCGTTCGCCACTAACTCAGCATTGAGTAAAGTCTCGCTCATAGTCAGTGCAAACATATCACCAAACTCGTCTCTCTCCCTCACAGGGTGTGTTACCGATTTTGGCAGCCTGGATAACATATCAGCGTTAGCATGATCCTTGGTATTACGATATTGAATGTCATACTGGTAATTCATAAGGAATAAAGCCCACCTAGTTAACCTACCGGCAGTCATCTCTGGAATTGGCTTATCGCCAAATATACGAACCAGCGCACGATGATCTGTCACCAAGGTAAACTGTCTCATATACAAGTAAATATGTAGGCGCTTTATGGCCCACACTATGGCCAGGGCCTCTTTGTCCACTTGAGCGTAATTCCTCTCGGCCGGTGACAGGGTCCGGGAGATGAACTCAATGGGGCGCTCATCCCCATTCAGCATAATGTGAGACAACACTGCGCCAATGCCACCGATTGAAGCATCAGTGTCCAGTTTAAGAGGAAGCTTGGGATTGTAAAAGGTCAATACACGGTTAGAAGCCAGCAGATTTTTCAATATTTTAAACGCTGTCTTTTCGGTATTTGTCCACACCCACTTTACATTCTTAGCTCTCAGCCTTTCAATTGAGGCCCCTTCCAGCCATTGCCACTGCGAATTTAACCTAAAACCTGCCCAGTTAATAGCGAAGACTGCGAAATTACCACTCCTGCCTAGTAATCTAATTTACCCTGTCCAGATCAGCAGTATATTACACTAAATCCGCAGGTTTTCTCTTAATTTTTTATGTCAAAACCTGCCTAATTAACTAGTGATCCTGCATCAACAGCGCAGGTATTTGTTATTTGGCAGGTTTTCTATTAACTTGGCAGGATTTGCTATAAAATTATTAATCCTTTCCGGATGGATTACGGCAGTGATAAAGTTAAATCGGCAGGTTTTCCATTAACTTGGCAGGATTTTTTATAAAATTATCAATCCTTGCCGGATAGATTACGGCAGTGATAAAGTTAAATCGGCAGGTTTTCCATTAACTTTGCAGGATTTGTTATAAAATTATCAATCCATGCCAAATAGATTATAATGCTATAATCTTATTATGGCAGCGTTAAATTTATAAATTGGCAGGTTTCTTTTATCTTTCTTTTAAGTTCTTAAGTTATTTGGAATTTTGCTTATTTGGCACCAAAACTAAAAGTCAATAAAACCGAGTTGATTAGCGCAGTCAAGAAATTGGCCGGAGTTGATAAAAAGCTGACAACCATGGCACTGAATCTCCAAATGAGAGGTATAGTACGCTATATACTTATATAGTACGGTACCGCAACAATTGACCCCCTCCCCCCCCCCCCCCCCCCTCCGACAAATGACCCCCTGATGCAATCTACCCCCGACAATTGACCCCCCATGTAATTACACTGGGGTCAATTCAGGGTTAGGGTCAGGGTTAGGGTCAGGGTTAGGGTCAGGGTTAGGGTCAGGGTTAGGGTCAGGGTTAGGGTCAGGGTTAGGGTCAGGGTTAGGGTCAGGGTTAGGGTCAGGGTCAGGGTTAGGGTTAGGGTTAGGGTCAGGGTCAGGGTCAGGGTCAGGGTTAGGGTCAGGGTTAGGGTTACTGGGTAACACGACTCCTGTCAGCGACATCTGTCCGACAGCGACATCTGTCCGAATCAGGGTACCAGAAAAAACGACATTTGTCCGAAATTGTGATCTGATTTCAATACAACACATTTCCAATTAGAGACGTGATCTGAACTGTTAATTTGAATACGTAACATTGCCAATTTGAGATATGATCTGAGCCATAGTGTACTACTAGTTTATTTTCGACCTAGGAAGGCAGGCATGAAGCAACTGCGTTGTGAATGGCGAGCTCGTAGTCCATGAGAATGTATTGTGGTTGGTAGCCCCAAGGCCTCAGAAGCCCAGGTGTCTATCTCCTCGAACATGTTGCGGTAGAGGGTCGTCGATTTTCCAGGAATGAGTCCTTAGAAGAGGGGGAGGTGCCAGCCGTCAGGGAAGAGTCCGTGGACTGTGAAGAGCTGATGGAAGAGATTAGGTGCAGATTTGAAGGTACCGTTGGGCGTTGACTACGCAATGCTCCGCGTCCACCATATGATCTGCGTTCTTAGGAGTCCCCCAAAGGAATGATCGACGAGTCTGTTCGTCCCATCCAGAGTCCCAGAGCATCATTGGACTGTTGTCGGTAGAGAGGATTTAGTTTGCAGGAATGGATAGCGTTTCCAGATCTCTCGGGTCTGTTTGCTGCAGATCTGGGTCTGTTTACTGAAGATTGGTTGCCATTGTGGATTGCGATAACTGATCTCCATACGGCTGCTATCCTATATGTACTCATGTAGGCTGTGTCCTGTGATGTGATCGACAGCTTGTTAGTGTACGGCTAGCACAATCCTGTCCTTAAATAGTCAATCACGTATCGATGGATCAGATCTCAATGGATCAAATCAGCATTCGAACAATGGGAGCAACGTCACGAAATTACCCGTGAGTTTGTGAAATACGAATGTGAACCGAAATTACAATATGATCCGAAATTCGGACAGATGTCGCCAAAAACGACTCCTGTCCGACAGCGAAATCTGTCCGAAATCCCCAATTCGGCTGTCGGACAGATGTCGCCCAATCGGGTTACTGTTAGGGTTAGTATAATAAATATATTTGTTTGGTCAATTGTCGGGGGGGGGGGGGGGGGTCAATTTTCAAGTATTATATCACTCGCACCGTTTAGCTCCACGTGGTTTCTTAAGCTTAAATACTTAACTGTCCTGTCAAGATAAAGTAAATCACTATCACCTCTCATTCTTAATAAGTTAGTGAGCAAGCATCTGATCATTTTAAAACAGTCACCTCCCAATTTAGCAAGTTCTTACATCTATATTACAGTCTACACCCTTCAATAATGAGATAATATGTTTGGCCGGTAGAGGGTCCGCAGTAGTCCCATTAAAGCATTATCTCATTACCTTAGCATTGCTGTACAGTGTACAACTACTATAAGAGTATAAGATATACATCCTTCACCAAAACTGGTTTGTCCGCTTTCTATTACTAATTTTCCGCTGAAAGTGCCACATCAGTGATCAATTAATATTGGTAAATAGCAATAATTTGAGTTATAGGTTGACCTCCCACTTAGAGCATATGTGGGAGGTCAACCTATAATTATAGTACGAGCTATTTCCAATTCGTGAATACGAATTTCGATTAAGGTCCAACTTATTAAGTGTCACTTTAACGTGTGACAAATTTCCGATCAAATATCTCATAATCTGAAAATAACTGCATATTTAGAACTATTATATTAATTGTAATTGAAGATTCTTTCAGAATCACTTCATTCACTAAATCTTACAATGTGAACAATGAACAGGTAGAGGCACTGCAACTGAAAAAGTGCTGTCCTCACTACTTAAGAACATAGCAATCTAATCTAAAAATGGCAACCTAAGAACTGAAGTTAAGCAAACAGTTATTTTCCAATAATCGGTTTTTATATGTACTTTTATACTCATACTTATCATAGACCCCGTGTTGGTAACAGTGGATAATATGCAGTGGCGAAACGTACCTAAGAGGCCGCAGCTGCACCCCCCCATCCCCTTCCGCATAGCAGGGGTTGCCGGAGTGTCGGGCAGTCGTTTCGCCACTGACTAGTGACTGCATGTATAAAAGTATAAACTATAGAGCCATGTAGGCATGTAGCATTCTGTACTTCTGTAGCTTTGCACAAACCAAGTCTCAGTCCTACACCCTACCTAGTAATAAGGTTATACGATCATTACAGTATTCCACATTGTACACTCAAATTATCCAAAACCCCTGCCAATATAGGTTTAATCACGCCACAAGTTGATTCAAATTATCTCAACTTACGCAGGATTTGCGTTAAATCTGCAGCATTCGACTTTATATTTAACGGAAAACCTGCCAAAATAGAGCAAACCTGCCGAGAGTAGGTGAAAGGTGAGGCAGGTTTTGTGTTAATTTTGCAGGCTTTTCTATAAATCAACAACTCGATTAAATAATTACGTGAGATAAATCTCTGCACGAATACGATAATAGGCAGGTTTTCGGTTAATTTTGCAGGAATCATTTTAAGACTTCAAATTGATTATCAGTCTTACTGTAAAACCTGCCAAATTAGGTGGCAGGTGGCAATGGCTGGAAGGGGCCTCAATTGGAGCAATCACAGACGACAAGTTGGGCAAATAGCGCCTGTAATAATTCACAGCCCCCAAAAAACTAATCAGTTCGTCCACATTCCTAGGTTCTGGAGCCATCAGCATACTCTCGACCTTGCTTTTCACGGGTTTGATCCCTTCAGCAGACACCACATGACCCAGATAGACAACTTCTTTTTGCATGAAAGAAGTTTTTTTCGGTTTTACATTTAAAACCTCGCTGCTCCAACCTACTTCTGACATTATTGAGGTTGATCAGATGGTCACTCTCATTTCGACCAGAAACTAATATATCGTCAATTCTGCAGCACGTCATAGGCACACCCCACAGAGTGTCATCCATACATGACTGGAATATAGCCGATGCACTGTTGATGCCATCCGGCAAGCGATTCCATTGATACAACCCTTTGTGCGTATTCAGGGTGGTCAAGACACGGTCCTCATTTCTTATCAACAGGTTATTATAAGCCTTTTTGATGTCAATCTTAGAGAACGTTTGTCCCCCCTGCACAGCATTCAGACATTCCTCCACGGTAGGTAGAGGGTATTGTCGGGTGCTGATACATTTGTTCAGGGTCGATTTATAATCCCCACAAATGCGCACTGACTGCCCTCCATCCTTCTTCACAGGCACTATGGGTGTCCCCCATGGACTGTCTTCGACTTTGGTTAGAATCTTCGCTTCAACCATATCATTTAACTCACTTTCAACCTTGTTTCTCAAGGCATAGGGTAGACTACGGGCTTTCATCATAATAGGTTTGGAGTTGTCCTTCAGGACCAAACTTGCCTGTACACCCTTAACTAGTCCTAAACCCGATTTAAACACCTCGCTCTGTTTTAACTGAGCGATACTACGACATTGATCAACCCGAGTACAGGTGTTTTCACATTTCCACCTGTTTTTCACGGTCGCACCATCGGTTAGCATGTCACCCTTATCGACACCACTCCCAGAGCAGCTTTCACAGCTCACTGACACCTGCTGGGATTTGTCTGGGGCTACATTATGTACTAACTTTGTGCTGAGCAGCTTCTCTAGCCAATTCTGTCCACAGAACTTTACAATCCACGGTCTTCCAAACAAACTGGGGAAGTCCTCTGCTACATAGAGCTGCATTCCATGAGCTTTTTCACCGTTCAACTCTACATTAACTACAGCACAGCCGTCAACTGTTTTGATTTGTCCGTTTGCAACCCGTAATGTTTGCCTGCTGGGTGTAAGTGTTAAATTGGCCAAGCCACAAGATAATAATATACGTTTGCTCACAACAGACACTGCAGACCCTGAATCGAACTCCATAGACAGAAGTTTACCGTTGATTTCTACTTCTACATACGGTTTGCATAACTCAATCATATTGACATTCGGAAACACATTATCAGAAACTAAACTTAAGTCAGACTTATCAGTGGTAATAGTGGAATCGGGATCACAAACAAGATAACTAAAATCAAAGGCATTAAACACCTTATCCCTCACATACATATTTGAAGATTTCGAATCAGTTAAATGAGTAAGTTTAGAGAAATCAGCACACAGATAAGAACATGTATTAGCATTACCTTTTTCAATCTCAACTGAATTACACTCATTGTCATGATCATACTCGGGGTAAAGCTCATTGTCCAAGGCATTTTCACAATTCTCATCCATACCGAACTCATAACTCTCCGAACTCGACTCTCCTTGTTCAATGTTGTGAACAATGCTGTTTTGCTTGCAATTCTTGGAGATGTGTCCAATACGTTTGCAGATATGACACCGGACTTGACAATTTTCACCAATATGTCCACGAAGTCCGCACCGTCTACATTTAAGTCCCTTTTGCATTCCACTTTTCTGCTTTCCACCCGAACCACCTGAACTTTCCCCCTTCTTCCCATAGAGGTTTTTCATTGTTCTTTTGAATGTTGGTTTCACAAAGTTCACTGATCTCGATGACTCTCCCGGTGATAACGTGCTATTCATGAATTGAGCCTCCCTGTCTTTCAAACCAGCTTTTTTGACAGAATGTGACGGTTAGTGGCTCTTTTGTCCTCGTCGCCATTTGTTGTAGCGTGAGCGTAGAAATAAAACAAGTTGTTAACACGTAATCATAGAGGCTAGGGAAGAACAAATCGTTAATAACAAATTATGATAGCAATCAATGTTCAATATATATAACAAGTATAACTTCCTGACTGTCCACAATCTTCATAAGTTGCACTGTTTACTGGAAATGTTTAAAATTAATAAGTTCCAATCACCAGTCTCAATGTTCTCTTTATTCAACAGGTCACCAAGACGAGACAACTACTTCATCCCACCCACTCCATCCTCACTATTCATCTATCAATCAACTAGTATTTGGAATCACTGCCGTAAGTCAACAAGTGAAATAGACTTCTCCACTCCCATCAGTATATTCAAGAATAATCTTAAGAAATCTTTGTTAGAACTACAATCTAAATATGACCGACAACTTTGGTGCAGTTACAACTTTGATGCAAATGAATTATCATTGAAATAGGTTGATTTAGTAAACATAATCATATGAGTAAACCACGGTGTTATTGCAAAAAACCATGACAAGGGTATCAGACCTATATTAATCTAAGAGACGACACAAAACGAATCATCATACAACAAATTTTAAAATCCTGCGGCACAGGATCCTGTTGTTTTCCTACTCTACCTCTCCCAAACCCCTCTCTCCTTCTCCTCTCTTCAGGTTTATTCTTCAATTTTTTTAAAAATTAGATAGCAGATATGTTTTCTTTTAAATGAAGTAATGGCATTATACATTGTTTGTTATCGTATGTATGTTGTGTATAGTGTTTGCTGACTGGGTATATGCTATATATTTTGAGGCTCACGACGTCTCGTCCCATGGGTGGAGTTGTAGGCTGAGTATGTGTTCAAATCTCCTTACTTCGTATGGTGAAACATTGAAAGGTTTGCCTTAGCCTTTGGGACGAGTGTTTGCCCACCGGGGATCCAAATATATGATTATCATGGACATTACTTTGACACATAAACTAATCAAACGACTTTAATGATTCCAGAAAATTTTACTAACTGCATTTAGCTAGTTTATAGTAAATACACACGATCGCAGAATAGAGGAGCACAATTGGGTTCCTTGTTCTGCGACTGTGTTTCCTCGGTGGGCCGACAGGTTTTTGTTGTGTAGTAGTGCTGGGGAAAAAAAACGCTTTAACTATCAATGAGAGTACAAATTTTTAATTCTTGACCTTAGTGCCACAGTTTCTGTGGTAAAAACAAATTTATAGTTAAACGTTATATATTGTAGAAGGGCATGATTTACTCACATCACTAAGCATCTGGATGGATAATTAGCACACAAAGATAAACTGACCTTTAAACATGACCACCAGCTATACCACGTAACCATAGCTCCGAAATAAATAAATTGCTCTACATAGAAACATCTGGCCTGATCCTATCACATTGTGGTCCCCAGGGGTTCGGTAAAGCCCTTACAGGCAACTGGGTCCTTTTACCAGCCACAATAAAATTGATCATGCCAGTACTGTCATAAACTGTAACCAACTATTTAAAAATTAGATATCTTTTGCTAAATTTTAAATTTTAAGTCATAGAGCAATCTTCTCAATTTTAAAATTTTTAAGAATTATATTTTACCCTAACTATGATGTGGTGGCATTTCATACTTAACTAAATTTCAACTTTGAAAGTAAATAGATTATTAGTGACAACAAAATTATAGTTTAAGACATCCATTCTGCATTGTGTTTCCAATATTAGAATTTATGATATGTATTGATTGAATAATTGGTAATAAATTTAACTTTTGTTTTATTAAACTTTTGTTTTATTTATATACATACATATATATATATATATTTTACCAAAACCCATAATCATGGGTAGAGTGGACCGCTGTCAGTGTCTCTCTTTCCCAAACAAAAGGAAATGATATTAATTTGATTGACCGTTCTCAAATGCAAAATGATACCGAGAATGAAATCGGTCGCTCGCTTTTCCCATTCATTCACGGCTTACGAATTGTATAATTAAGTTTCGATTGATTACATCAATCAGATGCTGTAAAAATCTCTTTGGGTTGCGTTCGGGTCGATACCTAGTATTTCGGGGTAAGGGACAAGGGTGGTAGTTATTACTTATTGAACAAGCTGAAGTTTATTGAATCTTCATTGCCGAGTACAGCTGCCTTTGGATAGTTCTTCTTAATCTATTACAATTGTAAATGAATGGGAAAAGCGAGCGACCGATTTCATTCTCGGTATCATTTTGCATTTGAGAACGGTCAATCAAATTAATATCATTTCCTTTTGTTTGGGAAAGAGAGACACTGACAGCGGTCCACTCTACCCATGATTATGGGTTTTGGTAAAATATCATCTCTTTTTGATTATAATGTCAGGGTACTTTATAATATAAAGTCGAAATATAAACTGATATCTTCATTAATAAGGAGGAAGTTTCAACGATTTCGAAATTTTTCCTTTAAAAACATTTCCTTGTGTTTAGGGAAGCATATCGGTCGATCACTGACTGAATATGCCACTTAATACTCATTCAAGTAGGCATTAAATTCATATATAATGACATTAAACTGTCGTGGCAAAGCAGAATTTGTTGGAAATCACGAATGAGCAAAATTCTCACCTTTCGCACGTGCAAACTTTGAGCGGACGTTGCGTGCGGATCCAATATTGAATCGCCGTAAATTTTTGCATGTTATTGTTTTATATATAGCTTGATAAGCATGCAAAGTTATAAAGTATTTAAAGAAGAACTGTAATCACAATGGCACTCTAAAGTTGACAGAAAATGACGAAAACAGCAATTTTCAGTGATTTTAGCGATTTTCTATCAAATTGGGCGTGTCCCCACGTGTGCAACTTTTCGATTTATAACTTTAAAACTAACCTAATGCACAATTTATACCTATAGGAAGCAGAACTGAGCTCCACACCCCAAGGCATGGCCCAACACCAGAGAATACTAAATCGCAAAATTGACGTTTTTATAAAATAATTTTTCAAAAAAGCACAAACTTCAATGACGAATATCTTTATGAAGGAGCAAGCTAGAAAAACTTTCCGGTAGATTTTCAGAATGCTTGAACAATTATCTAAGGTTAAAATTTCCTCAGATTTTGAGTAAAATTACTCCTTAATGGTTTAAAATTAATTTTAAAAGTTATTACTTTGTCAAAAATCAAGTTTTTAAAACGGTTAACTTGATGACGTCATCAAGGGGTATTTATGACGTCATACAATTTTTTATACAATGTAAACTAAAGTAAAAACAATTATTTGCAAGACCTGTGGTCGGAAATGGCTGTATCTTTTATACTTTTGAATCTATGGACACTTAAATACAGGCTACAATTGACTGGCAAAGTGTCTATCCCTGAATATATATATATACTAGTGTAACCCGGCCTACGGCCGGGATTTCACTGCCGCAGTTAAAAAGGGTAGGAGTAATTACCCGCTGAGTCAAAACCTGCATTAGGTGACCCAATAGTTTCTTAAACAATAATCTCATAATCAGTTATTTCTTGTGGATAATTAAGTCATTATTAGCCATGAGGCACCACACTCCATGATCATAAGGTCTGAACACCGAGTATTACACCTCATCACTCCCGTCTTGAACCGCTTTCTATTTTTATTTAAATCGTTATAGAAATTAACCCTTGTTAACTCCGCACCACACCCGCATATTATATTTGAAAACACGCATAACATTGTCGTATGAACTCTCTCTCTCTCTCTCTCTGCAGTCCAAACAGACCCCAAACACTAACAGTCCCCCCTCCTCTAATAAGCTTAAGGTATAACATTACAGCGAATCTTCCGGGCTAATCCAATTATGACGCTACTTAAATGCAGCTATAACATATTACACAGTAATGAGAGAGAGAGCAAGCCCCGTAACTCTTGCCGTTCTGCTCACGCAATTTTATGTAACATTTGTGGTACAAAACCATCAATTAAACCACTTACCATCGGCCGATTTAAAAAAAAGTTTCCTATGGGCTTCATCAGAGTTTCGTCGACACTATACCGAAAAAATCAGTCCCGTAACTCTTACCGTTTTTTTTGTATAACCGACCGGAAATTACACACGGACAGACAGACAGACAGACACACAGACACACACACATTCTGGTGTTATTAAGGTGATATATGTATGTATATATCACGACAATCTATCGTAAAACAGGGGTTCTAGAAAACCCATTTCCCGATGCTCCTGAAACCTGAAACTTTTTTTGCAGTCGATTTGGTCAACGTCTAGACGCCCTGAAAAATTTCAGATCTCTAACTCAATTTAAACATGGTTTTTAAGGCACCTGAATATGGCGATTTTGGGCTTTTTACCGAATTTCGTATAACAGTGCTGGCGAGTATTTTATGCAAATTTCTTAAAAATCTCAACATAACTATTTTTTATTCCTGTCATCTTTGACATAAAATTAGAATGTTTTGAACTAAAAATAAATCTGCTGAACGACTTCCGATGAGTCTTAATGCCTGAAAAACTTCTGCCGGAGGCGGCGGCCTTCGGCCGCCGCCTCCGGCCAGAGTGCACGCTTCGCGTGCACGAAAGAGGCTTCCGACGAGTACCAAAGGGGTTATAATAGTAAAAGGGGTATAATAGTAAAGGGGGTACAATAGTAAAGGGGGTACATAGTATACCCCCAATAAAGACACCGCTCGTGCTTGCCAGCACTGTGATAAATGTCAGCTTTGATATTGAAAAAACAGGACTCTAAAAATCAGGCGTCAAAAATGTTTATCCCGACCTAGGTTACAGCCGATGAAATGTAACTCAACGCAATGAAAACAACCGATGATACGATATATATAATAATAAGGACTTGTCTTGCACGTGCA